AAGAGAGAATTGCTAACATATTTGTAGGTTTTGATGGTAGAGTCAATAAGAACAAGCTTGAGGGATCTGGTAGCAGAGTTGAGACTTCCAAGCAAGTGTTCTTATTGGTCATGGCAACACTGAGGTAGGCTCTAGCATCGACAAGCTTCTTGGAAGAAGTGGGAGAATCATGAATCCCAGAAAGGGGTCTTTTAAGAGAAGTCAAGGTTGATGGATGAGACGGGCCATAGGATGGGGATATCCCAATCCTATCTCATCCGTGAACACCCTTACCTAAACTTATAGTTTAAAGTCCAAGTTACCATTTAACCCTTCCAAATAATTAGTACCTCTTAATTAGATGGAAGAAAAAACAAAGAAAAAAATATTAGGAGGAAAAAATGTAATAAGTAATAAAAATTATTATTTTTAGGGATTTCACTTCTTTTTACCTTCTAGCAATAGAAAGCATTATATATAAACTTAGGTGAACCTTCTTGGTTGAACTAATAAACTAAATTGTTAAACTGGTATCTTGGCTAGTTTAATTAAATACTTATTTATTTATGATTAGTTTGATTATAATTCAATTACAATTTTAACCATCGAACTAGTGTTTTAATCGGTTTAATGATCAATTTAGTTTTTAATACCTTGGTAGAAAGAGATAAAGAAATTTACATATTAGAGGTGGAGTTTGCTTTGTGTCTTTGCCCTCCTTACTTCACTGTAAAGGATCTAAATTCATGGAATAGATATATTTCATTTTCATCACAATATAAGTTATTGTTAATTATCTTTTATTTTAAAAAAATTAGTAAAAATCTTATTTTTTTAAAAAAATTTACACATTTTTCCAATCATACCCTTAACTGTAATAAATACTCATCCAATTCTCTTTATAAGTTATTTCTATCAACCTCATTAATATTAATAAAAAAATAAAAAAAAAAAGTGTGTAAAATTTTAAATATACTCATGTATAACAAATCTAAAAAGTGATGCCATGTTCCTAAGGGTAATTTTAAAAATATTTTTTAAATATTATTTAAAAAAATTACACCATGACTTATAAATGAGATTAAATTAACATTTTAAAATATGTTTTATAAATGAAACAAGAGCAAGTATAATATTTAAATTATTCAAAATATTATCATTAATTATTCAATAAAACTAGGATGTAATTAAAAAAATATACACCCCATCTATCTGATGTGATATATTTTATATGAAGTAAAATTTTAAAAAAACTGTGTGTATCGTGATATGAAAAAGGTATGGCGGGACAAGAAACTGGAAAAGCATAGTGGAAGGGAATTGAAGAGTGGAGCAGACGGAAAAATCAAGCAGCAGCGCCCCTTGTTTGATGGCGTCGGATTAATTCCCATGAAATATATTAATTATTATTTAATTCCTAATTCCTTCGTCGCGGATATCGGGATATCAGATTAATTATTTAATTATTTAAAAAATATTCAGTGAAAAACTATAAACATGAATCACAAGCTTTCAGTGTTCATCACAACACCGCCTCCATTTTTCTACGTTTTTTTATGGGAAGGCTATGCTTTTTGTTGAAGACCCTTTTTTTGGTCCAATTCATGTCAATTCATTTGTCACGTCATGCCTGTACCACCGATACAGGGGATCCGCATCCCTCGGCATCGATTTGTCACAGCATCCCTCAGCATCTTAATTTAGCCTCGAGGATCCATATTTAATGTTTCATGCTTTGCCACATTATTACGTATTGAACAAATAATTTTAAAAAATAATTCTTTTTTTAACATTTTTTTATTTTTTACTTTAAAAAATTATTTTATTAAATATGTCATGTTAGAGTTTGAATAGATCCTTACTCAAATAAATCAGGCTAAAATTTAAATATGACAAATTATATACTTACTTTATAAATTTATTTTAAATAAGTTTTTATTAAATAAATCATATCAAAATTTAAACAAGCTAGATAATAAGTCTCTTCACAAAAATATGTAAGATAATTTTTTTAAAATAAGTTTTGAAAATAAAAAACGAAAAATCTAAAAAAAGAATTATTTTTTTAAAATTAAATTATTTTAATATAGAATGATGTAGCAAAGTACGAAAAGGGTTAAATTGAGACTCTGAGCCATGCTGATGCTGAGAGGATCCAGATCCCCGATGTGATCTGATTTAAACAAACAAAACAAACAAAAAGAAGAAAATTCACGAAAAGAGTATGTGTACTGTGTATTGCCTTGGCATGTTATGCTTATATTATATATATATATATATATGGTATGTAATTTTTTAATTGTTCTTTTTAAATTTTAGCAGTGTGAATTTTAATATTTTGTATTTTCTTATAATTTAACATTTCAATAATAATTTTATAGATCAGATCTAAATTATCTAAATTTTGATTTAATGGTTAAAAAAGGAAGAGAGGAGAGGAGGATGAAAAGGGAAATGAGAGAATCCTCGTCGAGAAAATGGAGAGATGAGAAGCAGCAAGAGAAAGTAATTTTTTCTTCTTACTGAGTTCCTATGCCCTTAATTTTACATGGATAATAATAGCCTGAATATCTTTCACAAAATATTTATATAGAGTACAGAGAAAATTAATTTATTTGATAAATGATATAATAAAACTCATTATTCTATCATATTATAAAATTTAAAATATAAAACATTATATCAATAAACAGTAACTCTGGAGAAGTGGGGCGGGGAAGATACCTCAAACTATATGAAAACGAAGTAGCGGAGAGACGGTGGGAAAATTGCAGAATAGGTTTTGTGTGAAGAAATACATTTACAAACAAGCTTATTTAAATTTAGAAAATATAGTTAAGTTTTTTAAGGCTTGAGTGTAATTTAAGATTGAAATATAAAAACAATAATGCCTTATTAATTTGGCTTTCACTTACACTTAAAATTTCATAATTTATAAGTAAAAATTGGGCTAAAGTCTCTAATGTGTCTTCATCCAATATCTTTTGTAATGCTCCATTTTTCCATTTTCATTTTTTTTCTTTGTATTACTAATTTCTGCATAAAATAAAAAATATTTCAACATCTTGAAATCCAGAAAATGTGAAATTTCGTATTTTTATTATTTTCTGAAGAAAAATGTCATAGTTATATTTTTTAAAAATTTAAAAATTTACAATTTCATGAATTTAAGATATTGAAATATTTCTTAATTTATGTATAAGTCAATGATCTAAAAAAATGAAAATTAAAATTAAAAGGTTGAAACATTATAAGAATCATTAGAAAAATGTATATTATAGGCTCCTAACTGAAAAAAAATCATAATTTGCAAGCCAAATTTCTTGTTAAATGATTGATATAACATGAAGTTAATTATACCCACTCAAGGTTATAATTAAAGAGTGAATTACCAATTTTACATCCTAAATAAATCAATTACAACTTTGAGTAGGTGTAACTAACTCCATAAAGATTTTATGGTATACAGTATCAAGTATTAAATAAAAAATTTGACCCACAAATTACAAATTCTTACTCACAAATTATTAAGGCGCAGTTATAATGAAAGTCAAATTAACTATCAAAAACTTTATCAAACAAATATAACTTTAAAACTAAGTATGTAAATATCAAATGAACTCTATTGCTTTTTTGACATTCCAATTAGATCAATTTTAGTATTAAGCATGTATGATTAATTCTGTGAAAATCTTATATTATATCAACTATCAAATAAAAAATTTTAACTTTATCAAGGTCGTGAGAAATAATCAATCTTGGCAAAATTGCAGGAATGGCGGAAATCTTATCACGAAAAATTGGTGAATTGATTATCCATCTAAAATATAAATAATTTTAAATAATAATTTATATATTAATAAAAGAGAGAATTATATATAAATTATATTTAATACAATTAACTATTTCAAAATTCATTAACAATTGAGCTTAGGAGCCTAAGTTTAATAGTCAATGCATCTTGAATAATTAATTATATTAAGTGAGACCTCACAGTAATTTTTCCTTAATAAAATCTCTATCCTCGCGGAAATATATATAGATTCTTTTATTCTTGATTTTAATTTATGATGAGCATGAAAAAATTTACAAGTATAATAATTTAAGTTAATAAATATAAAAGATAAAATGAAGATTTTTTTATAATTATTAAATTATCCATATTTTTAACCAAGATTAGTAATGGAGTAGAAATGCATAATCATTATTTTCAATTCGATCCTCTGTCAATAATGTTTTTTTATTCTTAATTTTAATTTATGATGAGCATGAAAAATTTTATAAATTTACAAATACAATAATTCAAGTTAATAAATATAAAAGACAAAATGAAGATTTTTTTTATAACTATTAAATTATTTATCTTTTAAATCTAGATTAGTAATGGAGTAGAAATGCAAAATCATTATTTTTAATTCGATCCTCTGTCAATAATATTTTTTTATTCTTAATTTTAATTTATGATGAGCATGAAAAAAAATTATAAATTTACAAATACAATAATTCAAGTTAATAAATATAAAATATAAAATGAAATTTTTTTTATAATTATTAAATTATTTATATTTTAAATCAATATTAGTAATGGAGTAGAACTGCATATTCATTATTTTCAATTCGATCATCCGTCAATGTTATTCATTCTCTCTCTTTCTCTCTCTCACACACACACTCTATCCATGGCGTCAGATAAAAAGCAATTTAAAGGATGATATTATATTTTTTTTTTTTTTAGTTTTGTTGGATGGAACCGTATAGGCCTTAGTATTCTTAACCCAGAAAAGGCCATCACCTGAATTTTACTCTAAGGCATGTGTTGCAGCTGAGCAGTATTTTTCTCACCAAAGCCAACCCAAAACTCCGACTTCTACGTTCCCATCTTCCTCATTGCGTCTCTCTCTCCTTCCCATTCCACCCGTCCTTCCCAAACCCCCTTCAGTTTCGTGCTTTCTCTTCTCATCATTTCAGTATTCTATTGCTTTTCCATATTCTTTACCCCAAAATGAAAATTTCAATCATAGTTATGAATATAGAGTTGTTTCATGATGCAACTTAAAAGAGCACTCACACAAGCTCGACGAGACGACTGGTCCCTGTTTTAAAATCCTGTACACACAAAATCAAGGAGGCTCATTGTCAATACTCATAGCTCCTTAACTTCTCCTACTTGAACAGTCGCACAACCCAGCTAGTCATATATACAGGAACTAGGCAAAAGAAAAAGAAAATGTCAAAGAAAAACAGAGCACGAGGATGTTTTCCGAAACAGAGATAGCTAGATACCAGCCATTGGATGATCTCACGGTCGCCTAAGTCAAAATCGCCAGAAGAAAAAAATATCGCTTCCCGATCACTATCTCTATACTCCAATGACTGTGATGCGCAACCTAACACTAATCTTCAAACCCCACTTTCTTCCAAATGGCATTTCTGACCCTGCGCAGGTCTCGGCCTTTGAGGGTCCTCCCGATCCCCTCGTGCACAGACAGAGAAGCCCCTCTGGTCCTGGCCAGGTACTCGTGCGGAGGTATCTTCATTTCTCCGTCCTGATCGCCCCGGTCTTCATCGTCTACGCTATCGTCCCTCTGCTCCTTCCGGTGCTGTCTATGCTCCTCCTTCAGAATTTTGGACCAGTCCGGTATGTTCAAAGGTAACGAGGCCGATCCTCCCGGGTTCACTTTGCCACCACCGTCCACCTTCCTGGAAGGTATCTTCAAACCCGATCGAGAGCTCGACACGACCTTCTTGCTCTCCGACACGTCACCGGAGACATTCCAGATGTCAGCTTCATCAAATTCCAACGTACCCTCGGAGGATTTGGCGTCGAATTGGGTCTCTGAGGTTTCTGGGAATATGTAACTTGACCTGGAGAGGAAGCTTTTCCTAGAAGCCATTGGGGAATGACAAACCGGAAGCCCCAGAGATGCGTTAATCTGGGTCTCTGTGCGCGCGTCTCTCTCTATCTATGTATCAATCCCTTGCTCTCTCTCTCTCTATCTCTATCCTTCTCTCGCACTCTGTTTCCTAGTAAGTGCTTTGGCGAAGTTTTCATTTTGTCCAACTCAGTGATGGCGCCTTTTATTTATAATAATAATAATAAGGGGCTTTGGTGCGAATGGATAAAGGTCTCCATTTGTACGCGTCAATTAAGAGGGGATACTAGGGTGCGAGCCGGTTCAAGCGAGTTAGCATGGGCCCAATCAGGAAATAGACACGTAGGCAAGGGTGGGGTGGGTTGCTTGTAAAGGGTTGATCCTTGAAATAATTGGAGGGGAGTGGCCGAGCAGGGGAGGGTGGAATAAAGACGAAGCGATCCGGTAATGGAGAAGAGTGGAAACGTGGACCAATGAAATGTGACACTGGTCGGAGATTGGGAAGATCCATTGGAGATGCCAGGATCAGACAAATGGTGAGGTGTGGAAAAAGTAAGGCGAAGGCGTGGGCTCCACCACGGCCCATCGTCGTTGAACAAAGAGATCCACACTTATACCTATCTTCACACCTCACGCTGATTATGCCCCTTCCCAGCAAAATGTTCCACGGCCCTGCATCTAATTTTCCACAATTAATTAGGTCTATTCCTCTTGAATTTCAATTAATCACCATATTTATTTGTTTCCAAGAAAAATCACCTCATTTATTGTTTATAATGTTAAAGTTTTTTCCTTTTATATTCTTCTACAAGATGAGCCTTCCAACTGTTAAAAATGTGAATAATATTGTAGCACGCAAATAATATGGTACGTAATTATCAAATGTCCAGATAAATATACAGTTGGGTTATAGATTGGGCGGTGACGACCACGTCATTGACTGTATGTGTGTTGGTTTATGTAACTGGCTTTTATTTCACTGTAATCCGTTCGTATGTAACGAAGGAGAAGGCCATAGAATTGCAGATGAGCTGAACTACATTCCCAATATTAGACAATGTGGCCTTTGGATCTTTATCTTTAGTTTTGAATTCTGATATTGGCCAACTAATAACATTAAAATTAAAGATGTGGTGTGAGGGAAATTATATGATATATACTGTATAAATATATACATATATATATATATATAAATATATCCACGACACAAGATTTGGATGCAGTGAATGGAAAATCTTCTTAAATAATAAATTAAAACATCAAATAGGAAGAATGGCAAATAAATCCCCTCAGAATAGATAAATGATAAGATAGTACCACAAAATAGTGTTATTGACTTATCTATCATGATTTTGTTGCCAAAATTACATTCCTGATCCTAAGCAAAACAATAAAAAATATAGTTATTAATACATATAGATTAAAGTTGTTGATAACAAAAGTGAAATTGTTGGCATGGCTAGAAAGCGTTGTTAGTTTAGTTACGTAATAATAAGTACATTCCTCACATTAACAGGATGTTAACTTCAATTTATTCATTTAGTAACAATTACGCTTTCTATATTAACAATTTTATCTTTGATATTAAAAACTCTAATTCAGGTTTTAAGGACCACGTTCGCTTTCTATTATGTTGTAATGGGTTAGAGACATAATTTGGTAAAAAAAATTGATGACAGATAAGTTTTTAGTGGCTTGAGAGTAATAAGTATCCCTTTGATGACACTATTTTATCATTTGTTTATTCCAAAGAGACTTGTTTATCATTTTTCCTGCTAAATATAAACAGTAATTGTGAGGTCACTTAAAACATGTTTGAGATTTTATATTTCGATCCGTGCTCGAGGGATGTGTCTGAGCGCGTGTCTAAATGAATACACACGCGGAACGGAAGGAATTTAGAGTGGCGGTAAAGAAATGGAAGGGAACAAAGGCTCCAGCAACGTGGATCCCCATAAAAAAAAGTGTGAGAGCAAATTGTTGGCAAAGAAAAAGAAGAAAGTGGGGTGAATTGCACCAATAATAGAGCGTAATCTTCATGGCGATATGTTTAGATTAGATAGCAGAAGATTCAGGGGGAGGGAGGAAATTAAGAGGGTGGCTGAATCGAGGTGATGAAGGGCGTGAGAAAGGACCATGAATGGTGAGATAAGTTGAAAGAATGCAGAAAAAAGCGCAGCAAAGGAGCATGGAGAAGCCAACCCTGCCGAGTCATAAGCCCTCTCCAGTCTCCACTTTGATGAAAGTGCTAATCGGTAGGTAGCTATACTTTTGTTTTGATGCAGCCAGAGCCTGCCCATGTCACTGTGTTTTAATTTTAATCAGATACATGCAGACAATTTACCATGAGATATGCGTGCGTGCAGGGTAGTAGGAGTAGATGAATAGATGTGCATCTCTGTTGGCCACTGGGTTACGTTGCTTTGTCATCCGACCGAGGTCTTCCTTGCCCACTGTAACAAAAATCAAAATGTCTATACTTGAAAGGAAAAGACAAGAGTGGTTATCCTGTTGTGTGGGAGATAAGATAACTTTCAGATAAGGATGAGCATTTTGGGTGTTGATCATTGATACGACCTCGCGTGCTTCTCTCCCCACATTAACTATGTGCACCCTCTCTACTGTAGCACTTCCCCTCTTCACTCCCCCTTTTAAATTCCATCAAAGGCCGTTTTCATGTGTTGGTGGTCGTGTTATGCTTCCTAACATTTTTTTTTTTTTTTAAATGACGAGTACTTCTTATTAACTTTGCTGTCAGATTTCGTTGCCAATGTAACTTGCTTTATTCTTCACTCTCTTCCTCTGGTCTTAATTATAACAGCTACATCATTAATCTACATATATTAATTAAGAACATTAGTTGAGCTATTAACTGTTTAATTTGTCAAAAAAATGTGTCGCTTCCTCTCAAGTACCCTTCCCTTTAATCATTTCGTGTATATGAAAACTATCCCTTGCACACATAATACATTATATAGGTAGTTTGGAAAAAAAATAAATAAATGTGATAGATAAAGGAAATTCAAATCATCATCTAGCTCTTAGGATGTATAATTAGTCAGTGACATTTTTTTGAAAAAAAATTAATAAATTTACCAAGTATTCTATAACTTAAAATTCATCCCAAAATCTAACTCACATAAACTTTTGTTAGCAAACAAAAAAAAAGTAACTTAAAATTCAGCTAATCATTTTTAAACTACATCTGTCATAGATTTTGACCTATATGTGAAACTTGTGAGACATTTATCTAATTCTATTTATAAATAACTTATTTTTTTTTATCTTATTTATAAGTCAATTTCAACATATTTTATCAAAATTAGAAAAAACCTTAAAACTTATTAACTCTATTAAAAAAATTTAATAAGTTCTCAATTTTATCCCTATTATGTAAATATATTAACAACATATTTTCTTTTTGCAACATTCAATAGAAGATAAAAGAATAAATTTATGATAAAAATTTAATAATATGACTTATAAATATGGTAAAAAAAGATATTCTCTCTTTGTCAGATTAATAAAACCAAATAGAATATAGCATATTTAACAAAATTAAGAAAAAATTTAAAACCCGTGAACTTTGCTTCAAATATTTAACAAATTTTAATTTTATAATATGAAATATACATATTAGACTTTAATAACATGCTTCATCTAATCAACATTCAATGGAAAGTGGGAGTCAAAAATTGTTCGCGTGATTTGCGAGGTAAACAAAGACAAGTGTTCATTTTGTAGAAGTTTAGCATGCGGCCATTTAGTGGTTAGCAAGTTTCTAATCACGGGATGGACTCAGTCAGTTTTGCGAGAGAAATAATTATTAATTTTTAGATTAATTGATTGATTAAATTTTTAGTCAATTGCCAGTTGCAACATATGTCTGAGGAAGATATCGACCTGATGGTCCTGACCAACATGAACATTGAACAATTTGTAGTTATTTTATGGTCCTACCACATCAATTACCCCACACACACACACACACACATTTCAGTGTCACATTCTAACTCTCTCTCTCTACTCTAAATTCTATTCTGTTTTCTTGGTTGATATATTGATTACATTGCATTTTTTTTTTTGGACTGTCAAACTCTTTTCTTTTCTAGTCACATCAGCAATGTATAGATGCTGTATCTACCCACACTCCACCTAACCCTTACAGTTTGGACTCTGGAGCTGCTGTAAGCTCTATGCTGGTCATAGTAGCGAGCCCAAAAAAAAAAAAAGGAACGTAAATGAAAATGACTTTTCTATTTTTATACGAAGATAAAAATAAAATTTAATAAAAAATGATGAATATTACACAGTAAATTGCTTTTTTCCCCCCAACAATGCTGCGAAACAGTTTTCCTTTGGGCTGGCTGATTTGGTCAGAAGATCCGTTATCTTTGAAAAGCCTATCAGTTTCCAAATATGGGCCTATACGAACCCACTTACTTGGGCTTTAAAAGGCCATTTGATATTGTATATTAGAATATTAGTGAATAGTGAATGTAACAAACAAGAAACCGAGATCAAGGGAGATGTATCTTATCATCTTGTGCTGTATGAAGCGACGATCCAACTCCATTCCAGGCTCTTCTTCTCCTCCATTGTCAATTTGAACAGCTAAACATGACATTGTGGAAGGAGCTTTGGTGGATGGATCGGAGACCATGAAGAATATAGTAAAGAAGCAGCCCAGGATTGCGATGATAACGATCCGCTAGTTTTTGCGTTGGTTATGTATAGATTTCTCGTCCGCCAATCCTTTCTGTACACTAAAGCCTTGGTTGTATTAGAGATAGAGACCCATACCTAGAAAGATAGAAGATAGATTATACATAGAATGCGATGAGAAAAAATGAACTAAACACTGTTGAGTAATTATAATTAGAGTATAATAAATATCGTAGGTCTTTGTTTGAGCACCATGGGGGGAAAAAATTCTGTTCTCGTCATTACTACCTGCCTGGTTTTGGATTTGGATCCCCTCAATTGAGCTCTATTTGAGATATTAACCATTAAATTGCGATCTAATAACGTTGAGGTAAAAGACCTTTGTTTATTTATTTTTTTACATAAATTTGTAACTCTCCCCTCAACATCATTAGATCTAAATCTAATAGTTAATATCCACCGATTGAGAGGGCCCATTTAATGACATTCAAAATCTCTAAATTTTGCATATCATTGTTGGGTTTCCCAGATCTTTATTGTGTACCAAAGGGCTCGGGTTCAGACCATTGTGTCTAGTGAACTGTGCAAGCTGAGCATGGATACGAGCCAGTCTCATAGGATCGGTCTTTTGTTTTTTTTATTTTTTTGGCTCAGGAATGCGGCTTCAATAGTCAGATTCTTAAATGATACATACAGATTTTAGGCTCAAGATCTCATGAGCCTGACCCATTATGACTAAGTTCTGAAGGATCTGGGTGGGTTCTTTTGTTTTCCTTTATTTTTTTATAATAATTAAATATAATTCAAACAAAATTATTAAAATTGATGGTATAAGTGAAAATGTAATGTTATGATATAAGTTTGATGTTCTTTAAGATATATAAATTTATTTATTTTTGTGTAATTACGTTTTCTTTAACTCTTTACATGTTAATATTTAGTACCAAATAGTACTTCAATTAAAATTTTTTAATAGAAATATACACATGAGTAATTAAAAAAAAAAACAAGTATTAATGTATCATCTACTTTTTTGTGGCATAGAATTGCAGCAGGTAACGTTGCTTTCAAATGCTTTAATGCGTCCAAATTCTATCGCGGATGAGCCACCTCAGAAACGCCTTGGAGAACGCACGAGTTTCTCTCTTGTTTCTTTTTTTCTGATTTTGGCCTCATTTGAGAAAAATGATTCAGTGTGCTTACAAGTCCAAACCGTATCAAATGAAGTCTTCTTCTCCCTCTGACTCCAAATTGCCGAATATTCTTTGCTGGGAAATACAAAATTGATGTGCTGGGCAACACATATGAATGTGAAGATAAGAGAATATCCAAAAAAGGAAAGGCTTGACAAATGCTAACGTGTTCTCTCTGAATCTAATTTCTAAATATATGTAAGTAAAAAAATCCAATTTGATGCCCATTTAAATTTCAATTAGATATAATATATTATAAAAAAATTGATTAAATTATAAATTTTAATCATAATTAATTATATTATAACGTAATTTGTTTGGATACTGTTTTTCTAAAATTAATTTTAACATAATTAAAAATATTTGAATAATGTATTCAGAAACAATTTTAACTGTGTAAATTACCATAAAAAGACATTGCCTTTCAAAATTAAATTATTAATAAATTTGTATCTAATATTTAAAAAATAAAATATATTATTTAAATTATGTATTTGATTACTTATAAAAATTTAAATTATATTAACATTAACAATTTTAATTTACATAAATATATCTTAGTTTAAATAAATTTAATAAAAGAAAAAGATTTAATTCTTAAATACTAAACATTAATTTTACAATAACTAATGAAGATGATAATGTATAAATTGATCTCTAATGACATCACGAATATAAACTATATCTGATGAAAATATTATAAAAATTTTGACAACATAAAAAATGTAGTAATGTAACAAATGACGTAAAATTTCTCTCTCTAAATCTTTGCAACAAATTTTGTAATGATCATCAATTTTAAATTAAATGAAATTAATTTTTTTCTATCAATTAATATTTTATTTAAATTAATTCTATAACAAGTACAAAGTGAAGGGTGGTCATTGAATTTTACTTATGTTAGTAACTTTTTTGAAGATTCAAAGTTTAAATTTTACTAAATAAAAAATGAAAGAGAATAGAGTTTGACCTTAGTTTTATTAAATTTTATGTCTTTTTTATAATTTTTTTTAGATCTTTCTTGTAATTTTCCCTTGTTTCTTGAATAATTGAACGCAGAAGCTGACTTTGGCAGCTTTGAGAAAAAATCAATTTTTTTGACAAAAATTGATTTTTTGAATAGATGGGTGTTTGGATAATTTTAGTAAAAATTAACTTTTCTCTCAAATAATTGATTTAAAATGCTATCGAAATATACGCTTAATATGATTGTGTGAAAGCAGAGGAGGGTCTGGGGGGTGGGGGTTTGGGCTATCAGTATCATCTTCATTAGTTATTATGCAGAGCGCATTGTGCGCCTCCCTTCCACTTCCACACTCCCATTTTCGTTCCACAGTCCATACCACATGATCAACCTTCATTAAAGCCGGCCCCACACTTGCACGTAAGCAACGTAAGCACCATAGGCATGTATTAATTACGAGAAATTCTAAAATACTACCATCGCTGTATCATTTCTCATCTGTTCAATTAGAATACATTAAATCATTTAAATAAAAATTTATATGATAATATTTTAATTAATTTTATTCTTATAACATACTCCTCTATATTGTCACTAATGCTATAATCAATTTACATTATATACCATTTAAATATCATATTTTTATTGAATAAAATATAAGTAATATGACGTGCTGAGTTTATCTAAAAAATTTTCATTATTCATGAGGTTTGCACACATTTATTTTATGTTGATATTCATGTATAATTTTTTTTAAAAAAAATCCTCTAACAGATTGGCCCCCGGGGGGGTCACATGCTGTTGCAAGATCCATACACGTGGGTGGATATCAGCAAATGAGGCACAAACCCAGTATATTGTATTTATATCTGATTATTTGATTTGAATCTTTCTGGCGAATAGTGTGAACCATTACATGTTTGTGGTGAATGTCTGACTGGTGATCCGGAAGAACAATCAAGGAAAATCTTTTATCTTGGGAAGCCGCTTGAGGGAAGAATCTTCAGTTGGGTCTCGTGTTATCTGTTCTCATGAATTGATAAGTTATGTTAGTATTCACATTTTTCATTGAAGTTTGTGATTTCTTTAGTAGTATTTGTATTTTTTATAAGTGGCTTTGGAATATTTTAAAGATAAATTTTATGTTATGATAATATTTACATTTCAAAATTTAAAATACTGCAAAAAAAATTATTTTCAAGTGAAGTTATATGCTTTTATTAATTACAATTGTAATATTTTCATACTACAATAGTAACTTTAGCAATCTTATATGATGACAACATTTATATTTGCACGTATTTAAATATAAAATAAACATCAACATTATATTATACTGATTTCAATACATGTATACTATATTTGCATCACTTTTTACACAGAAAATATCTCATCTACTTAAATGGTACGTCTGCAGTCTTCTTCCCGAAACAACAACATAAATTGCAAACCTATTTACATAATCTGTCATCTTCACAAGTAAAAAAAAAAAAATAATGTGGGTGTCTATACAAAAAGTCATTCAATAGTAAAATTTTATTATAACTTTTAAGTCAATTGCAATACTTTTAACCCCCGTCATTGATGACACTATCTTCAATATCTTTTCATGATTTATGTCTTCTCTAACTAATTTGGAAATTAATCTCTCACATTCATAGGTCATCTTTTCTTGTGAATTTTTTTACAATATGTCCTTCAATGTGAAAATAACAAAATACTTTTTTTATTAAAGTACTTCCCATATGAAAAATAAACACACAACAACTAGAAGTAACATACAAATTTATTACTTTACAACTATCATTCCTGTAATTCTAATCATGATTATAACAATTCAACATTCATGATGTATTTTTTAATGTTAATTCACTTTTCATCATAGAATAGAGAAGATGTAAAAGATAAAGAGAGGAAATTGTCGAATTATTTTTTGTGTGCATGACAGAGGAGAGGATGTAAAAGAACCAATACATGTAATTACTATTATCAAGAGAGGAGAAGATGATGAACTACTTTACTAATTTTTTGTCCACATTTTTTTCACATGAGAGCAAATTTTTGATGGCAAAAAACAAGAACAGAGAACACAATATAAGCTATTTTATTATTACCTTTTAGTGTTTAGGGAAAGGATCATTTTATAAAGTTAGATAATTTTTTTATTTCAATTACAAAACTTGATTGAAATTTCAAAATGTTATGATCTATCCTTAATTGTCATTTTTCTTATACAATTTGTTAGAGATTGGGCAAAGGTGCAATTGGATTAATTCAGCGGACAAGGGCAAATTTGTACTTACACGATATTTGAAGGGGCAGTAGGAGGATCCGAGGGAATTGTACGCATGCAAAACAGTGAGCTGGCTTCCGGTGGACCGTCCGTCCCCCAGTGTCATTTCTTTTCTATTCTCTTAATGTCTTTCTCGTTTAATTCTGCTCCACTCTATCTTCCATGATTACAACGAGAGGGTTACATGATTTAGAAAATATTTATATTATATTCGGTTTTAAATTTATACTCCCTCCAATCCTTCTTACAAGAGACAAATTATTAATTCATCAATAAATATCAGGAACGCAAATTCTTTGAAAAAAAAATCCTCATTCACGCAGCTGACTAGCTAGTTGCTGTTAAATAATTCTTTATTTCTTACAAATACATCATCATTAATCAGGGTAAAAAGGAAAGTTGTAATAAATAGTACTACTTGAGACAAGATGTCGTTATTTTAGGGGAAAATTTCCTAAAATTCTCTTATGAAAAAAGCGTAGAAGGAAGAACTTTTTCTTTTTAAATTCATATTTTTGATGCATTATAAATTTTTGGTTAATTGCATAAAATACTCGAGTAGGATGTAGCTTTCACGGTGGTGGGCTTCATCTTGATGTCATGCTCTTTCTGCCATGTGACCTCCCACGTTCACCCTGGCAACACACAGCACCCAACAATTCACGCCAATCACTTCCCCCTCGCTCTATCCACCCTTTTTGTTCCCAACGGAATTTCCAATTTGCATTTCTAACCCCACACCGCTCCCTTCACCCACTATTCTAACTTATCCTCCCTCTAGTCTTTATCCTCACTCTCTCAGAATTTTCACAAAGTGAACGCCAATTGTCCACGCGAGTCTATGCCACGAGGCACGAGCGAAAGAGAGGCAGCTATATTCTAATGCTCGTTGTGTGGAACGCAGATTTTTTTAACGAGTTAGGGGTTAAGCCTAGGTTACGGCTTCAGGCCAGGCCAGGTCCCACCTGAATCTGATATAAATGCACACTCTTATCCCCATCCTCTCTCCCACCTTATCACCCTGCCACACCCTCCAAACCCACGGGCTTTCCACTCCTCTCTCTCTCTCTCTCTCTCTCTCTGTGTTACTGTCATGGCGAAAGACCTCGAGGGAGCCCCTCCTCACAAGGACTACCATGACCCGCCTCCCGCTCCTCTCCTCGACGCCGCCGAGCTCGGCAAGTGGTCCTTCTACAGGGCCATCATTGCCGAGTTCGTCGCCACCCTCCTTTTCCTCTACATCACTGTCTTGACCGTTATTGGTTACAAAAGCCAGATCGACACCGCTAATAACGGAGGCCCCTGCGACGGCGTCGGCATTCTCGGCATTGCTTGGGCCTTTGGCGGCATGATTTTCGTCCTTGTCTACTGCACCGCCGGCATTTCTGGTAACTTCACTCACTTTCCTCCTTTCCTTGACACACGCACCCACGGGCACGGACGGTGATTGATTCGGTTGATTTGGTGTTATCAGGGGGTCACATAAACCCGGCCGTGACTTTCGGGTTGTTCCTGGCGAGGAAGGTGTCGTTGATTAGAGCGATTATGTACATGGTGGCTCAGTGCTTGGGAGCCATATGCGGGTGTGGCTTGGTCAAGGCTTTCCAGAAGGCCTACTACAACAGGTATCAAGGTGGAGCCAACATGTTGTCTTCTGGCTACAGGAAAGGCACTGGTTTGGGTGCTGAAATTGTTGGTACCTTCGTCCTTGTCTACACCGTCTTCTCTGCCACTGATCCCAAGAGAAATGCCAGAGACTCTCACGTTCCCGTGCGTGCCGATCTCTTTATCTTCCACGCCCTATTACTTTTCCTCTTTTCTGTTTTCTTGTGTTTTACGCGTCAAAACTTGAAGCTGGGGTGATTTGTGTTTAAAAAAAACCGCGATTCATCCACTCTGTTCTTCGAATATTGAGGCAAAGCTTAAATTTTGATAGGTGTTGGCTCCTCTTCCGATTGGATTTGCGGTCTTCATGGTTCACCTGGCCACCATCCCCATAACCGGCACCGGCATCAACCCGGCCAGGAGCTTCGGGGCCGCAGTCATGTACAACAATCAGACGGCGTGGGATGACCATGTGAGTCGTCTTTATATCAGACTTCTTCGGGTTTAATTCGTCTAATTTTCCACGTTATAGTTTCCTAGCTCCTACGAAAAAAAAAAAAAAGCTGAGCAATGAAAACTTACTCCACGTGGTTGGTTTTGGTTTTAGTGGATCTTCTGGGTCGGACCCTTCGTCGGTGCCGCAATTGCTGCAATTTACCACCAATACGTGTTGAGGGCTCAGGCGGCCAAAGCTCTGGGCTCTTTCAGGAGCCACTCCAACTTGTGAGTTTCGCGCGCTCGGGGTCGGAGCGTGCGCTTTATCAGTGAGGATGGCGGAGGAGGATGAAGCTGAAGTGATTTGCATATGCATGGGAGAGTGCAATTTGTATATGGTGATATTGATTATGATATAATCATTATTAATTAGTGGTATGAAGCGTCAGCAGTCAGCAACCGAGTTTGTTCTTGAAGTACTTTAGGGGATTGACTCCGTTGAAATGTGCGTTGGGACGTCATTGTATTTTAAATTTCGCGTAGCGGTCCGGGTCGTTACTTTGTATTGTTATTTGTGAGGGTGAGAGGAATTACTGTACTCATGTTTTGAAGTCTCGTGTATGGATGATGATGGTGCTGAGCTTTTTGTGAGGAAAGGCGTTGTGTCAATTTATTCCCTGCCCCATTTTTGGATTTAGTGGTGGGGAGGTCGGTAGCCACTGGCTACTACAAAGGTGGTCCATGCACGATTTTTATTTTGATTTTTAAATTCTGGGGCGTTGAGCAGGTGGTCCTCGCTTCATATTCACATTGGATACGTGCGTGATGATGGTAGCCTGGACGGGGACCAGAAGAATTCGGGTTTAATTCGTTTGAAGTTACTTAAAATAAGGAGTTAATTGTAGCCATATAAATGCAAGTCATTTCGCAGTTTATACGTTAATAAGGGATACGTAACGTGGAACGAGGGTGAAGAAGAGGGTGCCATGTTAAAGAAGTCGATTGGGAAGGCGACACGCAACAGAGTTGGGATTGCGCCGTTGCTGTGAGGGAAAGGATCCTCCCCTCTTTCTTTTCATCTTTTTTCTCCCTCTTTTTAATTTTTAATTATTAAATTAAAATTTTGAAAAATCAATCTCCTTCAAAATATTTCATTTTATTTTACTTTCACTGTATTTTTAAATTTTTATTTAATTTTAGTTGTTTGAATTTTATTATTCATAATTTTTATAATTTAATATTTTAATAATAACTTTAAATTTGAATAATTTAAATTTTTATCTAATAATTAAAAAGAGAAAATAATAAAAGAGGATGGGATGATAGAGGAGAGAATTCACACCCAGTAGAGTCGAATTTGGAGAGGCCGTCAGGTCACGTCCCTTTTGCAGTTTTTCCAATCAAACGCAATCATCGATTACGATCGCCTGTGTTTATTCTCTGTGCCAGATTCATGATCCGGCCCCCGCTCCTCTCTTTACTTCTTTCTTTCTTCCTTATTGCTTTTCAATCATAAAATCTCTACACCCATATTCTTTCACGTTCTTTAATTTCCAGTGCTTTTTTTTCATAGACATAACAAGTCGTACCCATCCGTTTTAAATAAAATACATGTTTTGTAAAATACTGTATTTCAATCTACAAAGTATTTTGAAGATCAAACAAGAAAAGAACTATAAGGTCTTTACAGACTCCTAAGAGGGATTAATAACTTTTTGCTTCAAATGTCCATAGGAGCGTGCGTGTTAAAATTACCAACCTTTCTACCTAACAAATATATGATCAATGATAGACGGTGTTAGAGAAAGATAAAATTGAAAAAAAAAAAAAATCTTAACTACCTCACTACACACACGCACAGTTATGTTCAATTTTATAATATATTTATATATAAACATAAAGTAGAATCGCAAGCTTAAATATAATAATGCCATATATCTTTGATGTTTTTATGCTTTGTTATTCATTATTTAAAATATAAATAAAACCACCTCATCCTCACATCTCTCCATTATCTCCCAACTTCTTATTAACTTATTTATAATTTATAATTCATATTTATAATTAAAATAGCCTGTTGACTTATTTATAATTAAAAAATATCGCAAGTTTAAGTCTAATGATACCACATATCTTTGATATTTTTATTTTGCCATTAATTATTTGAAATAAAAATAAAACTACTTCACTCCCTCATTTCTCGATTATCCTACCATCCTATTAACTCATTACTAATTTCAAATTTAAAAATAATTGTTTATAAAACTATTAGAAATCACCTCCCATTATCTTCTTAAACAGTCAAAGACCAGCCCCATTTTCTTATATGTAATTCAAAACTGCCATCCCATGAAGCCACTATCTCAAGTTGTGTTTGCATTAGAAGGTGGAATGTGAAACGTTCCTTCTTTTTCTTCTTCCTTGTCCTGTCGTGTTTAACAATTTTTGTTTCTCCTCTGTTCATTTTCTCAAGTGGCGTTTCTCTTATGGCATATTATGATTCTTTTTTCTTGATAAATTATTTTCATTTTAGATTTGTTGTTGTTAAACAAGTGCATTTACAATTGATTCACGTTTAAAATTCATGTTTTGATTGTGCACTTTGATTCTTATTTTTCTTCATTACGTCCTTTGCATTATTGCAGGCCTTTATAATATTATTACAAGTTAGGCCTTCATATTTGCATTTTTGTAAATCCATCTTAAATCTATAATTTGTATTTACAAACCACATCAACGCCTTATGAGTGGCCCTAATATTAGAAAGACATGCAACAGCAGTAGTATATTCACCAATGTTGCAGGTAGATGACTTTATCTATTTTTTTTTATTCCCTCCTCTTTGTTTCTGTTAATGGTTTGTCATACAGTAATATATTCATAGTTATCATCTGAGTCACTTGATGTCTTCATTTTTTCCCCTTTAAAACTGTCAAAATTTATTAAGTTTTTGCACGCTTATATTAAAGCAATGCCATAATAAAGTTTTAGTCTTTGAGATAAAGTTTTGACTTATCACGATGCAAAAAGCAAAGAAAGTTTGCATAGCTTTATTCCAATGGATATATAATTTGCCTATATATACTAAGGTTCATTTGCAAAAATGATGCATCATTTGACTAAATGATATTTTAATAAATATTGCTGTCCCTCTAATCCACAATTCTATTAATAAGATGATAGTGTTTACTAAAAACAACCTTCATACTTTAAATTGTATATTGCTTAGCTTGATATCTTCTCAACAAGAAGGTGGGTTTATGTAGCAAAGAATTGGCCTTATGAGAAGGTGATATTTTAAAAAGAAGAAAATGATAGAATGGTGATTTACTTTTCATATCATATTCATAACACATATTGATAATTCTTTTGTTTTTTGTAATTTATCTTAATGATACCCAATTTGTTTGATTGTTTTGTTGGAGTGATGTCAAAATCCATTAAGGGTAACGATGATTTAACTCTTAGAGTTTCAAGTATATTGTTAGACATTACTTTATTACCATTCAACATTTACAATATTAATTTTTAATTACATTATCTTCCATCATGATGATAAATTAGAATCAAGGGAGAATTTCAATCAAGGACCACAAAAGAGAGATAATTACCCATTAGTCCCAAAAAAAATTAAAAATTCTCTACAAGATTTCTGGACTCAACTAAAATAAAATTGATAGTTGAAAAAATCAAAATGACCTTTTGCAAGATTAACAAGTACTTGATTACTATCTAACCTCGTTAAATTTTCAACCATACTTGTTAGATAGTTAACAGGTTAATTTTGTGACTCTATCTTTTTAATAACATTACTTGTTGATTTTATAACTTTACTTGTTGACTTGCCAACATGAGTTGTTAAGTTCATAATTTTTTATAACTACTTAATTTGACTTATGAATCATTTATAAGATTTATTCACTCAATTTGATTAAAAAGCATCATTACTAGTTGTTAATTTTTTTGTTTTACTTGTTAATTTACTTGACTTCACCTATCAATAATTATACTAATATTAGTTGTTAACTATCTAAGTTTTACTGATTAATTTACCAACATCAGTCATAAATTACATGATTTATTAATAATCATATTAGTTCAATCATTTTTTCCTAAATGTAAAATTATTAATTATTAATTTTCTAACTTTACTTGTCAAGAATTGTCAATCATTTTTTCTTTCTTTTGTAGAAGGATATTTTAGTTTTTTTAGCCACTCATTTTATATTAATTTAGTCTAGATACCCTGCAGAGAATTTTTAGATTTTTTTTTTGGAACCCACAAATAAATATCTTTCTTCTATGGTCATTGATTGAAATTCTCCCTATAATCAACATCAAAATCTTTATACTATTGGTTATACTTTTCTAAATTTGTATTCGTTTATGAATCCAAAGCACGTATCAAGTAAGACTTGGGAATATTGATTTTTTTATTAAAAACCCACCAAACACGACTTTAAATATTATTTATTGAGAAACATTATTTATATATCTATAAAGTGCAATTTAGAACCAATTTACAGTATCTCTAACTTTAATCTACGAGTCAATTATTTTTCTTTAATAACAACTTATTATAGATGTTAAGTATTTATTAAAAATATTTTTTTCATGTCCCGTGCATAGCACGGGCCATGTACTGGTTATTTTAAAGTTTTTAAATCATTATATAAAAGATGATTTTAGAAATAAAAAATTAAAATTGGGTAAAATAATTATAAATCAAGATTATAATTAAAATTATTTATTATTCCGTTTAATAATATATAGTAGAAATTATATAAATAATATTGTAGAATAAAAAAATATTATATATAAGTACTTTCCTAATAATAGTAAGGTTCTTATTCTCTGTATGAAGAAATAGCCACTTTTTCCTTATCCTTGTTTTCTCTAGTTCAGCTGGACATAACAAAATAAAATTATATTCCCTTGGCTTCTAAATTTTTGATATTCAGCTAAATCACAAAGTAAGAGCTTTTTTTCCTGCTTAAAATATTTTAAAAAGTCGTATTTGATTTTTTTTTTCTGTGAGCAGGACCAAAGTCATGGCAGAATTTATAATTCAAACAACACGTGTGGAGATACTAACGGATTGGCATGTCCATCCTTAATCCTTATCCTTATATTTGGACATTTTTTTTCCAGTAATATATTTGGACAGTTACATTTCCACAATAGTATCGTATCAGAAGAAGAGAACAAATTCCGTCTTGATATTGGCACCATGCGAATGGCTGCTGTTGCACGTAACTTCTGCATGAAAACAACATCGGTGCACGTAATTGTTAATGGTATTCGAAATGTTGCATCTATCGCAATCACACTTTTGATTATTTTACGTAGATTGGATTTTTTATTTTCAGAAAAATAATAATAAAATATTTTTAAAATATATAAACGATAATTTAATTTCTTACAATATTATAATTTTTTTAAATTTTTTAAAATTTTTTTATCATTAATGAATTTATATGAATTATCAAATCATTCTTGTTAAAAATAAATAATTTACAAATTTTTTTTAAATATTTACAAATTTCTTTCTTATATTCACAAAAATACAATAATAAATCATAATTTTGTATGTTAAATTTCTTATTTATTGTTATATTATTGTGAATATAAAAAAATTGTAAGTATTTAAACAAAACTTGTGAATTACTTATTTTTAATAAGAATAATTTAATAATTTATATAAATTCACTAATAATCAAAAAGTCTCCAAAGATATCAGAAAAATTATGATATTTTAATAGATTAAATTGTCATTGATATATTTCAGAAAAATTTTATTATCATTTTTTCCTTTTTTTCCTTAAAAAATAATTTGACATGAAAGTATCTGTCAGGCCAAGACAATATTGATATAATATACTCCATAAAATTAAAAATTTTAGTCTATTTTTTTTTATTTCCACTGAAAACTTATTTCACCGATGAAAAGTTAGATCCCTCGTGATTAATAAAGTATCTTCAAAATGAAAACGACTTGCATCTCAATGTATTAAAAATACAAAGTAAAAAAATGCTTTTTACATATAATTAATTTTTATTTAGGATAAAATATTTAGAGGACTAGGTACTTCCTTCGATCCTATTTATAGAACATATTTTAAAAATAATTTTTAATTTAAAATATAGGATATCATTTTAAAAATAATTTTTAATTTAAAATATAGGATATCATGTAATAATTAATTTATTTTTTAATTTTATTTTTATTGATTAACATGAAAGTATTTAATATAGTTATATTGTGATTTAAAATCAAAAGTAAAAATAAAAGTATATCTTATTTTTATAATATAAAAAACAGTTTTTTTAAGATGCATCGAATTGTCTCTCAATAAGGTATAATCTATACTTAAATTAAATTATAAAATAATTTATAAATATTAGAAAAATGTTTATATTATTTAAATATAAGTATCTATTAAATTATATTAATGGTACAGGTTAATAAAATTAAACATTAAAAATGCATAAAACGTAACATTATAATAACATAAATACTATCTTTATATAAATATTTTTTTTATATCTATTAGAATCATGTTATAAATTTTTATTAAATAAAATTTATATACCTCCTTTATTATATGGTAGAGCATTTTGTCATAAAATTTTTCATAAACAATTTTTTTCTAAATTTTTGCTTTCCCATTTTAAAACTATTGCTATTCGTTTATAACACATGCTTAGATATAATTTTAGATAACAGGATAAGTAAACTTCTACAAAGAAATAAGTGAAATTTTTTGAAGTGAGAGAGCAATTCAAATTTTTTGAGAGGGTGACTAGAGTTATTTAAGGTCATTTTAAGTAATTTCTCTTTAGGTTAGTGAGAGTAATTGCCCCCTCTATCATAAATGTAGGTTTGGGAGGGAGTGGATGTTTAGTGTTTAATAATTAGTTGTTATAACAGTAAATCTTTTATTTGAAAGAGGTCCTGAATTTGAATCTGACAAGATATTTTTATTAAAAAAGAAAAACATAATTTTTAATTTTTATAATTTTATCGAGTTTTGTTTTTAATCCTTATAGCCTTTTTAAATGTTTTCAATCTTTATAGTTTCATAAATATTGGGAAACCTTTATTTGACAGGTCCTTATAATTTTTAAGTTTTACTAGTTTAGTCTTTATAGTTTTTTTTAGTATTTTCAGTCCTTATAGTTTCAGAAAGATTGAGTGACCTTTATTTTTTAAATCTTTATAATTTTTATTTTTTAAATATTTTAATCTTTAAAGAAACTAAAAATATTAAAAAAATTATATAAATTAAAAGCAAAACTCTAAAAAATTATAGGGATTAAAGATTTTGTTTTGATTTTAAAAAAATGTTGCCTAGTCTTTTGAAAACAAATGCATCCCTTCAGAAACGGACAAAGGGCCGGGCCCAAAATGGAAAAGAAGGGTTCAAGAAACCGGACTAGCCGAACTGGAGCGAGCAACCCGATTCTCTTATTTAAAGGCTTCCCAAGCCGACTACTAATAGGCACAATGAAGGACTTCAGCTGTTTTGAGTAATTCAGGAGGCGCCTTGCCGCCTTCTTTGCTTTTTTTTTTTTTTCGGTGTTCTTCACGTTTCACAAACACAATCTTATTTTGTCAGTTAATATAATGGGTATATTGTTAGTCTCTCATTTTATAGAAAATTTTATTTTGATTTCATAATTTTATAATATATATTTTTAGTCTTTTAACATCTTAACACACTTAATTTAATTGAAGAGAAATTTTTACACTAAACTTTTAAATATTAACAATACATTATAAATTAATATTAATATATTAAGTTTAATTTTTTTTAAAATAATAAAAATTTATACATATAAAATTAAAGAATTAAAATTTGAATTTTATATAAAATTAGATGACAAAAAATTATAGTGTTTGTTGATAAATTGTGATTCAATATATTCACCAAAAAATTTGTGATTCAACATTTTACTGCCAAAACAGGGGCCCGGGGTTGGGGGGGTTAGGGGGTAGGAATTGGAAGGACCGACGACTATGCTATGGAAACATAATGTTTTGTCTCATCGAAGCATTCTTGATTTGCAAGGGTAATTCTTTTTTTTTTTTTTTCCCCACATGGATGAGCCCATTTTTCATTGACTCAGACTGGTAACTTCTATCTCATCAAAACAACATTCACAGTTGGGATAAGACATATCTCATCATCTAATTAAATAAAATCAGAGTATATTCAAAAGAAGCTTTGATTTAAATACTCTGAAAATGAAAAAATGCACAGATCTCCAATTAATTGCCTCATTTTTAATTCCTCAATTGATCCAACACACAGCAGGGACAGGCCTAGTAGGTATTACTACGCCTTCCTCTGGTTTGAGATCAAACATTGAATTCGCGAAAACAAAAGGAGCGGGTCGCCGTAGGGATCAATATCAGACATAAATACGCCATTAAATACAAGGATGTTAATTAAATCCAGAAAGTGAATGCCATTTCCCATAATTTCTTCATGCAACATTCAAAATTTATAGCCTGATAGAATTACATCACATATACATGCATAGCATAGACGACCTCTCCAACATCAAGACGCGTATATATATGTTGATCCAAGTTTCACTTCTCCAACCATCCAACGCATAAACTCCTTTTTCCTGCCTCCACTCATTTCATAGAAACCAAATCACGCAGCCAAAAATATTGATCTCGCCATGACTCGACTCTGCAAAATAGCGACTTTGTTTGCGCTTATACTGCAACTTGCCTTGTCAATCCAGGCTCGAATTGAACCAGCTTCGGCTCCTGCGGAGCAAAAAGCAGAAAACGACGACGCTCTCTATTTCGCTCCTTCCCCACCTGGTGACGACGCTCTATATTACGCTCCTTCTCCATACGGAGACGATAAGTTCCCTGAATCTCAGTATCCCTTGGACGACATGGCTTCAGAATTAGAAGGCCATGTCCAGAACCCTCCTTCAACTTCAGCTTACTCGCCAGGAGTAGAACAAGACTACCCCTACGATGGCGAAAATCCTTCTCCTTCTCCGGCAGCTTATATTGATGCCATGGCTCCTGAAGTGGATGTTTTTTATGACGACGATTATTCACCATCTGAAGCTCCTAGTCCCACAGATTATGGATTGCCGTCTGAAGCCTCTGCTGGCAGTTTGATGGCTAGTCCACCGCCAGCAGAGTTGGAGTATAGAGCCGAAGACGATGCTGGATACTTCAGTGGCGAAGACGAAGACGAGGAAGGTTATGGCGAAGAGAACAACAGAGGCCGGACGATGGGCTTTGTGATCGGGGCGGTTTGTTTAGTCGGATTGGGAGGTTTAGTGTACAGGAGAAGGAAGGCTAATCATAAAAAACGTAAGCATCCAGTGTACTTGGAGTTATCTAGAAGCGGGGACAACGTCTGATCAATGTTGCTATATTACGCTCTCTCGTTCGAGCCTTTTATGATCCCCTCATATACATTCTGGAATAATGTTATATACTTATGTTAGTCTCCGTGATTCTCGTCTCTCTTCCAGGAGAGGAGCTTTCTGTCACAGATTCCATAGATCCTTATCGCAGAAAGGATGCTTTATTTACTGTTTAGTTTAGAATGACATACAGAGTACACGTAGTGCTCTGTGCCCTGGGTTTGTAGTCGGGTAAACTTATGCATCCCCATATACTTTCACATCTGTGTTAGTAACAAAATATACACTCTTAGTTATGTAGATCTAAATGTGTATTTTCTAGCATGCTTGTGTAATTAACAGGTATAAAAAATTACTATAATTAGAAAGAATACAATACTTGGAAAACTACTACATTGCACTAGATTATAAGTAACTCCATTTTCATCTTTTCTCCGAATTGCCAACTTATAAAAGGTGGATTTTATAATTCGACAACTTACCGAGGTGGATTTTAAACTAATTCAGATTGGGTCAGGAGTATTGTAAAAGGTGAAAAACTCTCCCACCAACTTGAACTTGAATAATCCTCTAGTTAAGTTAGTACAATCTTTATTAGTTAAATCAAATATAATATTTAGATGGCATGGCATCGGGCTCTTTAAAAATTATTGTAATATAATTAATGAATCATTCATCTGCATTAGAACGAACAACGAAGAAAATCCTCATTTGTAGTGTGTATGATTATATTAAATGGGAGTGCCATATAGCATTATATGAAGAAATTAATGAACCCCGATTTACAAATACTATGATTGCTTAGAATTTTTTATATTTTATAGTAATAACTAAAAGAGAAAGTTGACATTTGTCATACTTGTAAATTTTCCAGATCTAGTGTCATTTACACACTTATAAAAAAAATTTAATGGGAATATTTTCAAAAGTTGCAAAAAATAAAAAAAAAATAGCTAAAATTTTTTGTCATCATTTTTCCTTGTGAAAAAATAACAAAAATTTTTCTTTATAATTCAACGTTATTATATATTTAAAAATTTTCTCCACGAATCTCTACTCGCATATCAAATCAAAGTCTATACAGTCCAAAAGATATTGACCCTCTCCTTATTCCAGAAAATAAAATAAAAATAAAAACAATTAGTGGCAATGGCCTATAGGTAGTAAAAGGGAACTCAAATCAACCAGGCATCACCTGTAAATTGGAATAAGCATGTAGGACCGACGTCAAACTGTTTTTCCTGATCATTCTGTCTTCGATCATCTCCTCGCAATCCGAGACCCATATAAGTAAGTTCCGATCTCCCTATTGCGCCTCTCTCTTCTTCATATCGGATCTACGAGTTCTTTGGTTATCGGATTTGTCCTTGTCCGGTACAAATCTGCCCTGCTTTTTTACTTCTTTCTATATCCGCTCTGACTGTTCTTTCCAGGGATAGAGTTTTGTAGTGCCTTACTTATTCTCTAGTTTCCGCTTCCTTTATTTTTTTCTCGGAAAAATCCTGAACTGTACTGAAACTGAATTCGGATCCCTCGTTTCCATCATTTGATCATGCCACTGTGTCATGTCAGAATCTAGCTCATGCTAGGGAGGCCGATCCTCGCAGATTATGGGGGCTTATCACTTCTGGAATATGTGAAATTCGATTTCATGGCCTGAAACCTGTTTCCTTTAGATTTTATGTCAATTTACGGCTTCAATTCTTCATGATGGAAGTTTCGGTAGGGTTGGATTTAGCGTTTGCTTCGGCTAAACTTCGAGATAAGGGAAACAAGCCCAGAAACGCATTAACTTTAGCTAGTATCTTATGGACGAGGGATTAACATGCCGTAGGCGTTACACTTATCCTCTGTCTTCTCTCTGTTGTTTGTCTTCTCAAATTCTCATGATAGCAGTCTATTTTATTATTTGGTTTATCCACTTCATCACACATAGCTTTGTTTAAATGTGGCTCTGGCAATCACTTGGTATATTAGTCTTTTTGTCTCTAGAGGATGAGCTTCTGATTCGGTTTTGACGAGATTTAAGAATGTCCAGCATCTAATTACAATTTCTTGGTCATATTATCGACTTTTTTGTGTTGATCTCTTGCCTCTATGGTGAAACGATCTTTTTCCTTTTATACTGAACCATGATTAGTAAGTTGATGTTATAATTCTCCGTTTCCTTCAGACTTGGGGAACGTGAATCCGGTTACATGACAAAATTTGAGTAGTTCATGTATAATTTAGAGTGTCTCACTAAGTAGCATCTAATAGGCGTGCTTGATAGGCGCTAAATATGTGCTTCATAGCTTTAGTTTCTCGTTCAATCTCTGTTGCTTATAAATGTTTTTTTTTTTTTGTACAAGTTTTCATTCTTTTCGGGGCCAAGTGGAGGATTTTCTAGGCTGAATTAATTTATTCATGTTAGCTGCCCAAGCTTTTGCTTTATGATTTTTTTTTTTTTTGTTGTTGATACTTGATGGTTATTCTTTTGTTACTTTTCTTTCAAGCATTGGTAACGAATTGCTTCCATCACAGAATGGCATCCAATAGGGGTCAAGGTGGAATTCAACAATTATTAGCTGCAGAGCAAGAAGCACAGCAGATTGTGAATGCAGCTAAAAATGGTATTCTTATTCTCATTTATTTCCCCCCTTTTCTCTGCCCTTGTTACTGGCATGATTATATCTATTTCTATCTCCTTGTATGTATTTGACTATTTTCATCAAAATTCATATTTCTAATGAAATGACTTAATCCAAAAGTCTTGGCTCTTCTCCTCCCCTCGTTCCCTTTATCTTTTCTTCCTTACTTGGAATCATGAGTCACATATGATAGGCATGGGCTTGATGCTCTGAAATGTGTGATTGTATAAATTCCCAAAATGAAAAATATTTCCGTTTGCTAAACTCCATTTGTTAGTTCACGAATTATTGTATTGAATTTAAAAATCCTTCTGTTAGAAAAATTGGCTAGACTGAAGCAGGCCAAGGAAGAGGCTGAAAAGGAGGTTTCTGAATATCGAGCTCAAGTGGAGTATGAGTTCCAAAAGAAATTGGAAGAGGTAAGGTTATGCTTATAGTAGTAAGTAAAGATGTTAAACTATTCCTAGATCTTCTTGTTATTAGTTGTGGAGACCAAATTGTCTGCATTATTTACAATGAATGCAGAGTAGTGGAGACTCTGGTGCCAATGTGAAGCGGCTTGAGCAAGATACTGAATCAAAGATCAATCAACTCAAGACAGAGGCTGGGAGAATATCTCAGGATGTTGTTTCTATGCTCCTCAAGCATGTAACTACCGTAAAAAATTAAGGTCCTTGATGGTGTATTAATGTTCAATTGATACTGATTATTATTTTGAATTTATTATTGATTTTAGATTGTCTGCTGCGTGCAATATTCCTGATTTCTGTTGGTCCCATTTTTTGCCACGATGTTGTGACAAAAATAATCTGAAGCTTGTTGAAACTCGAAACAATCAATTTGTTGGCATGCATATTTCATAAAATTCCTTGCTGCCTTGCAAACCAAAGAGCTGAAATGCAGATGTATTTTATGTAAAAGTAGCCTCTCTCATTTCCCCCCCTTCAATTTTACTGTTATTCATGGCATTCTCGGTTCTCCCTCTAAATCTAGGCCGGGGGTTATGTTCCTTTTTATTTGGGAATGCATACGCTGAAAGGGAATGGCTACTGTAAATAATAAATACCAAAAACGTGTAAAACTAGACTTGGACTAGATGGCTGTTACAAAACAAGAAAAGGCTTAGACTAGATGAACCGAATGAAATTCTAGTGGTAAATAGGATAATGCAATATAATTTTTTAAGTGTGTGTGTGTGTGTAGGTAAACATATATAAAATCTTAAGTTGTTATTATGTTCTCTCAATCCTTTCTAATAAATATAATTTGATTTGACTTTGTGTTGGTTATTCTGCTCGGACTTGACGCTCTAATAGAACCATTTTGTGCCTGTAGCGAGAACTTCTAGATGATATTACTTCATGCATAACGTGACCAATCGTTTACCTACAACATTTTGAATAAATAGGATGATAATCACAAAGTTAAATATTGTTAAAAGTTGTTAACAGACTGCATCTATGTCGGATCTTCTTGTGACAGCGGAGAGTTAACAGTCAGTGGATGCTTCATGTGGAGATCCTACCTTACTGTTCTGATTTCTTCCCTGAATCCCTGCAATGCTACTCTCATCACAACGGAAGATTCAACAATGAGTCAATGCGATGAAGTATATGATGCTTCATATACGCGCGCGCGTATTTCTAAAAATATAGAAAATAAATTTGAAATGTGAAAAGAAAATAGATTTGATATAAATTTTGTAAGTCTTTTTTTATTGTTTTTTAATAGATACTGAATTTCATTACTACCAAAAGAATAGGCTTTATCCTGTTAAAAAAGGAAAAAGCAAATTGGAAGGATGACTTGGGGCCACCTCCGAAGAGAGATTTCCTTTAATTCACCCTTCTCGCGAAATACGTACAAAAAATTTACATCAAATTTTAATAATACAAAATTGTTATTCTCTCCTATTTTAATTGTAAAAACTAGATAACTAATCATCTGTAAGTGTATACGGATGACATCTACGCAGTGCTAAAAGCGCGTTTACATTCGGTGCTTATTAATCACGTGCTCATCAGGCTCAAGGCTAATTTGGACCCTTCAATTTATCTCAAAATAATCTCCACCGTTTATTTTAAATTAATTTTTAAGTATTTTATTTATTAAAATAAAAATAGATAAAAATCATAAAAAATAATATTGAATATATACTGTTCAGAATATATCTAGATAGTCAATTAATAAAAATTATAAAAATTTTAATATTAAATTATATACCAAATTATACTTATATTATCCAAAATATGTCTGAAGAGTTAATTTAAAAATTAAAATTTGTTAATATTAAATTAATTCATTCAGACTAAATCTATATTGATCAGATTAATGATAAAACAATTTTATAAAAAAATTTTAATTTGATAAAAATAAAAAAAAATAAAAAACTTTAAGTATGAATAGTTCAGATCTCATAGTGATAAGCAATTTAGTGCTTATCCCCTAATAAGTACCGGGGATAATCTAGATTTAATATTAATTTTTTTTATAATTTTTATAAACTTTTATTTTAATGAATAAAATATTTAAAATATTTAAAAATTAATTTAAAATGGACAGTAGAAACTATTTTGAGATAAATTGAAAGGCCCAGATCAGCCCTGACTGCGAACTCGCTAAAAGCAAAAAGGATGCACCTATGCAGAGGAATTATGAGACGAACGCATGCAGTCAATGGCTTCCCTATATTTATGACTCCACTGTTCCTTATTGTAAGCCCTTTCAAGAAGTTTTTCATAGTGCTTGACATACATCCTGCCTCCTTAAATGTAATAACCAGCTGTAAAAATCACAATATCTAAGAAAGTTAGTTGTCTTCAATTTTTTTTTAAATCTACCCTTAATTAGATGTTCTATGATGATAAAATCATTTGCTAGGGGTTGGAGACAATATAATTAAATAGGGTACGTGTGGAATTATATTATAAAACGCCCTAAGATTCCACACAATGTATTATAAATAGGGACAACGGCTTGGATTTGGAATTAATCCGTGACCCAATTACACACATTGAGTGAGTATTGCCAAGTGGTTTTATCTCTATCATGGGATTAAGTCAATGGTTCAAAATAAGGCTGGGGATAAATTCAAGAAATTGTGCGTATGTGAAGGCCAAAATTTTCTTTGAACTCCCCCACCCCACCCCCCTTTCCCCTCTCACGTTCTGCGATGCGATCTTTTAGACACCCATTTCCATGTCTTCAATTTTTGGTTGCTACATTTTTGGCTGAAGGCTGTTTTTCAATTTTTTTTATCCAAGACTCAGATTACTAGAGTTGCTGAAATCCAATAATTCAGACACCAATTTATACCCGATCTGAGTTGAAGAAACCTGCACCCACAATGTTCTTCTATATCTCCATCATGTCGTCGAGAGGGAGGAAACTCTCCATCACAGCATCGTCGGAGCTTCTCGTTCTCGCTATCACGATCTCATGGCTCACCATTTCAGGAAGATGGTCACGTGGTTCTTGAAGTCCACATCGGAGCTCTCTCTCGATACCTCAGAGTCGGCCGACTCTCTCTTTTTCGTAGGAAGGTGGGTCTTGTTCAAAGAAATGGATATGGATATTTATGCCTTGTCTAGTTGCTTAAGCTGCTCTCAAATCTTAGTCCATTGATTTAATCCAATGGTAGAGATAAGACCATGTGATGACACTCACTCGATGTGAGTGATTGGGGCATGAACTGAATCCAAATCTGCCCCCATTGCTTGATCAATTGGTTAATGATAGAGCACAATAATATTATATAATTTATATAGCTGATTTCACTTAGTGGGGTAAAGCTTGATGTTAAAAAGATTTTTAAACATTTTAAACCACATTTCTTAATATGTGTGGAGCATCCATTTATGAAATGCATGCTACGTGTTTTGGCCATTACCAACCTCCCTCCTTATCTCCTCCATGTGTTGGCAAAGTGCATTCCAAAAGATAGCAGTGCTCGTACTAGTGCCTGTATCTCTCTGTAATTACCAAACTTAATTGGTTCTGTCGTGCATGTATGGTGAACATGCTGCCAGAGGGTGTACACATTATTAATCGCCCCGTCAACAACATTGATGATGCCACCTACGTAAGGGTAAAAGTAAAAGGGAAGAAAGGAGTCGTCAAATAGGGGTAGCTAGGATTATCTCAGACCAATTAGCATTTTAGAATTTCTGAATCAGAAGGCAAACAACACTGATATTCACGCCAAACGGAGCGAGATTGCATTATTCGTGCCGCGTGGTAACATGATTATGCACAAGTATGCGAGGGACTGTGGACAACAGCCACGGGGTCTCCACAAAAGGGCAAATGACTGGCTATAGAGTGCTTTCCATTCGTATGAGTGAAGAATCGAACCCCCGACGAAGTGAGATAGCCACTATGCCACACTCACATGGTTTACCTGCTTTTTATTGATGGTGCTTGGACGCTGGAATGAAGACTTGTCTTGGCGAGTGTGAATCTATGCACTGCATTGTCTTCCAAAGGAACAGCAAATCTTGACTTATTATATTTTTGGGGTCCATTTATTTTTTTCTTTTGATAAATCTGGGGTCCAGTTAGATGCAACATCACGGATAAGAAACATGGAGGCCTTGCGAATCAATTAGGCCAGGCCCACTCTTTAGCCCTGTTTGGTAGGCAAAAATTGGGAACAAAATTGAAATTGAAGGACATTGATGATAAAATGGCTGGAAATTGCGTTTCTCATGATAGACTAGAATGTCATATTTCTTGTCTCATACTTGAAATGAATCTATTTGTCGTGAATCTTTCCGTCTTATAAGTTAGGGAAGGCACCCAGCTTCGTGAAAGATAGTAGTGAAATATCGAAATTGCCCCGTATTATTCCTTTCTCTGTGTCCTTCTTACGTATTTGTTATTTTCAAGAGTCAATACTCATTGAAGAATAATTAACACGTTCACTCCAGCTTTTCACAAATACATTTTATATTATAAGGGCTCCATATTTTTTTCATAATAAAAAATTTAAATGAGTTGAGTCTCAGAGTCTTACTAAATTAGAGCATATTTTTAAACTTTTGAGCATTTATCAATCGCCCACTAATGTAATTTTTATATTGATAGTGAGATTTAACCACATGATTTTATGTGTTAAGAGTTAAATTTTTACATACTGAACTAACTTTTATTGATTGAGCTTAATATTTTCTATTATCTTGAATAAATGAAGCGAAAATGCCCAAATTGAACACACCCCCCATGTGTTTTGATATGCCCGCCGCGTGGATGGTGTATTAAATATTTAACTTGAGTTCAAGACTGTATTTTAATTAGTAAAAAAAAAATGTGTGCCACTGTGCAAGAAATAAAGTCAGAAATATGGATTAGATTATATGAATTGGCTTAGATATTTTGTTATAAGTGTTGGGTTGGAAAAAAACATATTGACCCATATAAAAATGTTTTTTTTTTACCTGCACCAAATAACCCGTGACTTAAACAATCAGTTAATCTTAATGGGTTAGGATTGGCCTATATAACCCATATTATTTTATAAAAAAATAAAAAAATTGAAAAAAATGGAAGAAACTTTAGCATCAAAACCCCACAGGACAAGAAGATTTAAGAATGAATCATGATAGAATTGATCAATTTTATATATTTTATCATATAAATTTTTTAATTACATAAAATATCATAATACCAATGATTTAATAACTGGATCATATTAGACGGTCGAACAATTTGACCATCAACCGGTCTAGATTCCGGTTTGGTTAATATGTGAAAACCATTTTAAAGATTGAGTCGGGTTGGGCTATTTCAGATTGAAAATCGAATTTAGTTTTCAAGAATCGGATTGTTAAATTTTTTATTTTTTTATCAATTTTTTAGGAAATGACCAATTTTTTTAACCATTTAATATTATGTTGTATCATGTGGCTTGTTAAATTATGATAAATTTAAAATATTTATTTTTTTAAGTTAAATAATAATTTTATATTTATTTCTTATATTTAGATTATTATATACATATATAATTTTTTAATTTAATTATTATATTATTGGTTTGACTATTGATTTAACTCGGTTGAACCATACAAACTATAAACCATTGACTTTTTCGATTCAGTATCTAACCCGGTTCTAAAAATATTGCATGATACTCCTCATTTAAGTATATATTTTTAAGAAAATCATGAAAAAATAATAAATGAATTGGTGGATTGACTTATACAACCCACCTATCCACATGGTTTATGTTGGGTAGAGTTTATATTTTTCTAATGTACATGAAAATGAGTTAAACTCAATTCAATTTATATTTTTCTCAATTTATATGGACCAGCCCGGACCACTAATTATTAGGCTGTGACAAGTAATTCATTTGTCCTGGCCATGAAATCAAGACAATAATAGACTGTACAGTCCCTAACAACAATGTGATGACATGCATGCATATGAATGTGCAGTGCTGTGACAGATTTGGTTGAATGGGTCAGAAGAATTCCATTAAAACGGTGTCAAGGTACTTCGCGGCGAGTTCCATATGTGTTCTGTGCATATTGGCCGCGAAGAATTTATCAAATTTTCAGTGGCTAAAACTAAAGATCACTTCCATTAATCTTCTGATGACGAGGACACTGCTTGGCTGATGAGTTTGATGACTAGTTAATGGACACGAAAGCCCTCCGTCATCAGCTAATTAAATTAAACCCTGTGCTTTTATGTATACTGACTAATGACTCACCTTGTTACATGCTTTAGACCAAAGCCTCGATTAAAATAGAAGAAAAAGGACAAGGCTTTGAATGGATACGATATAGACCGGACGAAAAACATTCGAGTAAATATATGCTGCTTATATGATGATATTATGCTTATGTGGCGATATATTGAGCGAGCTCACACACACACACACACCCCCCGGGGGTGGGCAATGACTGGTTTTGAAATTAAGGAAAGATGAATACGTATGTATATGGATGAAATTGATCGGCCGCACAATTCCCAGCAGCTTCAGGGCAACACCGTGACACGTCATTGACAACTCATCGCAACGCACGATATTCCCCTGCCTGTATGCATGCTACAGTTTACCTCGTGCTTTCTCCAGTCTCCACTGTTCCCACTAGGGTCCTTCTCTATAATTCAAACAGTTCATCTCTTTTTTATTTTTTAATCAGACGAACAGTTCATGTCTTCAATATATGGTCAAGACACTTTCTCTGCTCCACCATCATATTTTTCAATCACAAAAGCATGCATCCATTTGAGTTTTTGTCAACTACGCTTTGTATTGAAAAGTTGAGTTATTGAAGTTTAATAAGGAATGTGCATTAAATTGAGAAGTACAACCTTAGTGAAATATAATAAATTTACTCGACTCTTTGACAGTTAAATTCAAATTTGTACTTTTCTAGCAACTTGTTCTTGGTACCACCGTAACATTTTTTTATCAGTGGCAACAGCCAAGAACTGTTGCTACAGGGTGCAAAATTGTTGCAGATGGGTATAGGCAATGGTTTTTGAACATGGAACTTGTTCCCCTTACTTACAGTCTAAAGTAACAATTTTTTCATATTTTAGATCACAAATCATAAAATCATTACCTATAATAAGACAACAGGCAAATGGTTTTGGGATACTGAAATAAGCAATAATTTTGCTTGTTGCCTACTATATAAGTATAGGCAACATTTGAGAATTGTTGTGAAAATATTGAACAACTAAAATTTAATATTTCCTTTATCACTAAAGATTCAAATCCGAATTTACTTGAAGTGATGAGATGATTTTAACTACCTTTTCAACAAAACTTTTAGTTAATATAATGCAAAAATATTATATATATATATATATAGATATAGATAATTGTTAAATTAAATTTTAATTTCTTCTAATTAATAAATAAAAAATTAAGAATAAATAAATAAACAAATAAAAGAATATAGATAAGTAATCAAAAATAAAAAAAAAAATTAATAATAGAAAACTATAGGCAATGATTTTAAATGTTGCTAAAAAAATTTATATGCAATATTTATTTATTTTTGTTGCCCACTAGAATGGGAAACAATTTTAAAATATTGCGATAAAAGTGTAATTATAGGCAACAGCCTTTTATGTTGCCTATTTAAAAATTTTTTGTAACACTTGAAAACCATTACCTATTATACTTCAAGGAATAATTTACAAATATTGCCAAATATTTGTTGTTTGAAGTATGTATTAATAATAATACACAAAAACTATTGCTTATACTCACATTAAACAACATTTTTAAAATTGTTGCAACCAAAACTACTACCTAAAGCAAACAATGTTGTAGTGTAAAAATAAGCAAGGGAAAATTCAGTTTGTAGCATATATAAAACTTTGCATTCTATGATTTTGGTTGTTAATAATTGCTATAAATATTAATCCTTTTGACAGCCAACCTATTGACAAGTAAGGGTCATCTTAGAAGATCTAACCCATCACTATTTTTATTGGAGGTAATCTCTATTTGAGGCATGGTTAGTACCAACCCTCAAGAGCATGTTTGGATAAACCACGCATTTCACACCTAGGAAAGCACTTCCTAATATTTGAGATGGAAAAAGTTGTTTGGATACAAGATGATGAGTGGGATTTTTTAATGAGAAGTAATACAAAGAAACTATAATGGTTTACACCGAAACAAGATCAAGAGAAGATTTCCTCTTATCATCAAGAGAAAAGTATGCTTCTAAAAGGTATTTTCTAGGGTGATTTGAATGTGGATTTATAAAAGTAGCTTGAGGAAGGATTTGAAATGCAAATGAAAGTTGGAAAGCATCAATAAGAGGAATAAATATATGCCCAATTTTGTAATTGATCATACTATCTTTGCATTTTTTTCTCTCTTCCTTGTGTATGAGTTCACACTCATTATAAATCACATTGTTTGTATAAAAAAATTATGGATTAGATTGTACATTGTAAATCGAATAATTAATCATGTTGATTTTTAATATTAATAAAATTTTGAATCATTTATTACAAAAAAATTTCTAACATATCAAACTTTATATTTTTATTCTTATTATTTAACATATCAAATTTCACGTCACTTAATTTTTTTTTAAATTTTTTAAATATTTCTAATATATTATATTTGCATAACAAAAATTACAAATTAAATCAATGTATTTTTTGATCATTGTACATTCAAAAACGTAATTCAAAAGTATAAATTATCATTAATTCAAATAACTTTTAGTTTATTAAATTGGTTTTTTAAAAAAAGCATTTAAACATAAATTTCATTATAATAATTGACTTTTGTCTAATGAAAAACTAAATACATACTAAATATAAGCACTTCTTTCAATAAATTTGAACCTTAGTAGGACTAACCCTTTCCATTAGGACCAACTCCCATTGGTGAGCTATGTTTTTTAAAAATAAAAAAATAAAAGCATTTTATATCCTTTTGACAACATGAAAGAGTTTTTAGTGAAAGTGGATGAGAAAGAAATAAAATGAAAATGTAGTTTTAAAACATGTTCAGTTTATACATGAAGATGGGGTATTTCAACTTTATGAAGAGAGCGAGGGAGGGAGTTGGTTGCATGCATAAATATGAAGGTGAAAGTGACTTCCATCAGTTTTGAGAGAATTGAATTTTTTGGAGAAGTAGACTTCACTATGCCAAACAACCCAATTTTTCAATTCTAATTGTTTACCAAGCACCGCATTACCGTAAAATGACTTCTCTAGAGGGACGGGGGAGTAATCCCATAAAAGAAACTCGCAGGACTTTGGTGGACAATGAGGCTTCAGCTGTAAAGATCAAAAAGCAATATTAAAAAAAAAGTATATATAGGATATAGCTGTTGGTTTATGTGTCTCTTCCTTTTTTGATTTGTTGAAGAAATGGTGGGATTAGATGAAATTTGGTTGCATGACATAACTGTCTGCTCTGGAGTAAATATATGCCGGTAAATAATGCGTATGCTTTAGACACTGATGATGATTCACCGCAATCAAATATGAATGTGGATAAGCATCATTAGTCTCCGATATGTCAAATCAAATGGCCCTCCGATCCACATCAAGGGAGGAAAGGGGGGGGCCGCCTGTTAAAATCTTAAGTTGGTCGCATATTACATGCCCGTCGCTCAACTAATCCAATTTCCTTTCTCAATGCCTTCAAGCGTTTTCTTTTTTATTTTTAAATCTCATTTAATTTTCATCTAATTTCACGGAAAGATCTGTCTTCTCAAGAAAATTAAGACCGTATCCGATATTCACTTCCTTAATCAGTGCGACCGAAAGAAGAAGAAAACAGATATTCATACAAAAAGAAGATATGTATCAGTGGGATACGGGATTCAAACTTGATTGCCTAAATTGCAGGCGAAGAAGGAGAAACAAGAAAGCAGAGTAGCTAAGTGAGACAATATAATCTGCAACATCAAGTGGTGATCAAAAGGGCGTGAGATTCCATGGCATAATGATATGGGCTCCCGTGAGTGCTTGATTGGGGAAATGGAATAATTTGGAAGGGCATGTGCACAAGAGGTGGTGGTGACAGGCAAAGGCAATAGAATCTGGAGAGGGAAGGGGAAACAAGCAAAGTCCAAACACACAGAAAGAGCCAAATGGTGGAGTCGTCAGGGAAGAAAGGGAAAGTTGTGTGTGAATGAAAGAGTTGGGTTCCAATCAGGCAGGCACAGCCAGCAGCAGCATCTATTCTATTCCCTTCATTCCCTCTATCTTTCCAATATATTTGTTTGGTCGACCTTTTCCCACCTTGGAAGTCCTGCAGCTTTATCATCAACTTTTCCTCATTTTCTTTCTGCTCTCTCTCAGTGTCCTCCTTGCAGGCTTCTCCATGTGCTTTTGCCCCCGTCACTTCTCTTTCCTCTACCTGGTACCTCTCTCCCCCTCTCTGCTTAAAAAATTATTATTTCTTGATTCCCCCGACTTCTTTTTCCAAAGTTCATCGCGTTTTTGCTTTGCAGGATTGAGAGCCCATTAGCTACCTACATACCCTCTCTGTCTATATCCCAAACGGTAATGAACGGATTAGATAAATAACATTTCTTTCTTCTCCTATGTAATTGTCTTTCTAGAAATTACTTGGACAATGATGCTGGTGTCACTTTATGGAGTTAATGCGTTCGTTTCAGTTCACATGGTAGACCCTGTGTCACTCGATTATGAGAATCTAGGTAGCAAGTAAAGTCAGTTACTCGATGAAAAGAAGGTTGCGGGGGCAAAATTAAATCTTTCGACAGTTAAATAATAGTTCACATATTTGGCTTCACATTTGTTTGTACGTTTAATGCATCTTTGGCTTCACATGTAGACCACATATATTTATGGAGGAGGTAACCCGGGGGAACTAACTTCTTATTCTTTTTCTTCCAACATTTATAGCGATGTCAGTTAATTTGAAATCTCTATAGAAGTCGGTTTAAATACGGGGAACAAATGAAGGGAAAAATTATCGAAGCCCTTCCAAAAGGACCTCCATGTAAATGCTATGTGCTGCATTCTTACGTCATGTTGTACTAAATGAACAGGCAAACAAAAACTACACACAGTATAACAGGAAAAGGACGCTGAGGGGCAAAATCTTGTTCTTTAAAGAAGTCCAATTGTGGGGGAGATAGGAATCTAAATGTGATCCAAACACTTAGAGACAAAATCTAATTCAGAAGATAAAAAAGGACTGATTCCCTTCGATTTCTTATGTAATGGAAGACAACTTTGAAGAGGGAAGCATTCCCACAGCTATATTAAGCCCTTCTCTTATTTATCTACATCCCTCTCCTTCTCACCCTTTTCATCCCCAAATATGACCCCAACACCCTCAAAACTGATCCTAACCCTGGCCAAGAGAATAGACGTCCAGGTAGATGGAGTACTGTTTTGTGGAGCTTGGTCTGCATAAGCCTGAGAACTATGAGGGACGGTTTTGTCATTTGGGAGAGACTTTCCTCCTCCTTCTGCATATATGCTGCTAAGTAGCTTCTAACTAGCACGCGCAGGCTACTTCCTGACTCAAGCGTTGCAGCTTGTGAAGGCATTTGGTTAATTAAGCCAGCTGCCTCGTCGTACGTCTTCCATGGAGTGCCTGGCTCCCTGTATGCCATTTGCGTAGCCCATCAGTGCAGTGTTGGCCTTGGTGAATGGCGTGCGAGGAGTCATGCATGCTGGCATTGCTCTTCATCAGAGCAGACTTAATCTCTACCCGTCCCATTTCATATTCAGTTTCTGCATTTTGTACAATTCTCAACTCCTTAACGAGTCTTCCATTTCTTTATGCTTTGCCCTCTTTAATTACTCACTCGGTTGTCTTGTCTAACTTGTTGCTCCGAGATTCCTTTGGACTTGTCTTGATGAGAGGCAGGTTTGCCGGTTAGGAATTGGATACACATTTACGTCCAGTACTGATCATTATCACCTTGATTACATGGTTGCTTGACACAGTCACAAGTCCTTGTTCTTCTGTAGTATCTTTTTTGTTGGTATAGGCTTCTTTTTGCATTTGTTCGCATCTAAGTCAAATGATCCTTCAAAGTAGGTTTGTGGTTTTTGAATTAATTACTATCGTTGAAAAGTCATAATTTCTCTCACAGGGTAAGCATACAATTGAGCCAGAAGTTAAATGAGAATTATATTTATCACCTGTCAAACTAACAAGCTTTATCCGATCAGCAATAGGAATTTTTGTTTTAGAAATAACTTTGTGGATATTGGTTATGTTGTTTAACACTGCTATAGCCTTTTTGGTTTATTATAATCGATGATTCACTGATATGTGCACATTTACCTTATAATTTCTGCACTCCCGTATTCACACACAATACACTTTGTACTTAAAACACAAAAGAAAATGCTATTTACTTATTTAACGAGGGGTTACTATTTATCATTCGTAGTGCTAAACTAATTGAAAATTATATAGTTGAGCTTGAGTATTCTAGTTTAAAGACTAAAAATTTAAACCACAAAGATTTGCGTCTTACGACTCTGGATTAATTTTTTTTTTTTCCTTTTAACCCCGAGTCTTTTGAAATAGTTTCAAAGTTTAGAGTTCCTCATATTATTATTTTTAATTCCGGTTCCCCAGCTGTGATTTTTATATACTAGATTTTACTCTCAGGATCTTGTTAAAATTGACACAGTGTGGCAGCTAGGATCCAGCTCTTGTAATCCAATTCATACTAGAATCAAAATTTTATTAGCTAGCCAGTGATAAGTGCTTGGAGGATGCTGCGTGGTACACAAGGCTAAGGAAAACAAGGAGAAGTCATGATAGCTGTCCTTCGTTTCTGCATCAATTTTCTTGAGGGTCCTTTATTATCAACCGCAAATTGAAGACTAGAAGATTTGAAGCTTTTGGCATAGATGAGATCATGGTAGGCAACAGTTTGAGAACTTTGTCTTGTTCAGTATGTTCTTAAACAATAGAATCTTAACCGCAGTTGACATTTATGGCGGGTTGCTATGTGATCCTCACACGCAATGACGCCATGAAAGCCCCACTTTATTGAAGCCAAGCTTTCTTGTTGGAGGATTTTGTTCGCCTACAGCATTGGACTTAATTGCTGCTGTATGAAATTGTTGTACCTTCTGCGCTGCCCGTATCTGCAACTCGATTCCGGCCTTATCACTGTACGCCTACTCTTTCTTTCTCCCTCTCTTTCCTCTGTGGATATACTGCTCATTTCACTAAAGCAGTCGGTGGTGGAGCCTTAAATATTTTATTGTTGTAAACACTGAAACATCATTATCAAACTCAAACACTAATCAGGTCGATATCTTTATATATAGTTATGTGACTTAGATATGGATATCTCCCATCCCTCGCACTTTCATCGAAAGTGAAGACCCACAAAATGAAACTTATGCGGGAATCTTAGTTAATATTAGAGACAAAAAATCATGGGAATCTCATGTAGGGAACACTCCAAGAATCGTCCCTTGATAAACTTGTTAAAGGAATTTTAGATAGCTTATTATACTATAAGTAATTGGTCAATCACTCTTCATCATATTTCTAAAGATGCTAACCTAATAGATATATTGACAGCGTGGCATAGAGGGTTCATACTATGAATGCAATCTTTATGATCATGTCAAAACTTCACTTAGATTGTGATGAGCTTTATGCGATATGACTTAATGTCATCGCCGTATTGATCCTGTTGACGGATTGCCTCTAGGCTTTCTGTTTTATTCTTTGAACTTAAATTCCAACCTCGAAAAGAATGGAGACATATAGCCAAATGAAGTTCTCCTTAACAGAAGCTGAATTAGTTGGTACATGGTATCAGTTTAAGGTTTGCTGAGACAAACTTTGGTGAAAGACAACATTAAATATCCGTATGAACAGTAACTGACTCGTGGTGGTGAGAAGCCTTGAGAGCCCAAACCAATAAAAAGCACTTAACATCAAAATTGAGAGAGTACGATTGGTCAAATTTTACGGGCAAAGTCAAACTGTGCCAATCCAATACCTCCTTCCAATCCGTGGGGTTCCGCCGCTGGTTTTGCGTGCAATTGCTTTTTGATTGACTAATGCTTAAGTTCCCACGTGTATATATCGGCCAATCACAAATGAACGCTTTTTGTCTGAAGAATCAATAGTGTGAACATCAAACATGTATGATGGTCAAATACCGCGAGCATTCTTTAGGTGTGAACATCTGTATTGCTCTAAATATTTTGTCACGTTTACAAATTAAGATATTTTATTAACAGTAGCAGAATAATAATGTCTGCCTCTACCTTGAATTAATTTCAACAAGAATGGCGGCAATTTACAAAGCTATGACAGTTGTACGCTTGATTGCACAAAATCAACTTGATTACACTATACACATGCATAAACAATAGCAAAACTGGATGAATCCCAATAAACCCTCATGAATTTAACGGGCGAGAACGGCCGACCTCCAAATACCCTGGTTTGCTCCACTTGAAATTGATTCGGGACTCACGGGTATTGGTATTTGCTGCCTTATTTTGATGTTTCTGAGATCAGCAACAAAGCCTGGTTTTGAGATAGCAACACCTTCCATGTCATTAAAGATGCTGCTAGTCAACATTTCAACGACCTCTGTCATTCTGGGCCGAAGCTTGGCGGTTTCTTGCACGCAAAGCAGCCCCACTTTTAGGAATCGAATGCCTTCTTCCGCTACCGAGTTCATATTTGTAATCACAGGATCCACCATTTTTACTAGCTCGTTAGCTTTATAAGCTGCCCACACCTGCAGGCATAGTCACACATTCATTGGACCCCACGTGTTTAGTAATGAACTATTTCTATGTTCTTCTTCGTGCTTGTTTTCTCGAGAAAGCGAGGGAGAATTAAATTTCTTACCTTCTCTACCAGGAAACGATCCATATCCTGATAAGCATCAACCGCTGCTTGGCCACTAACAATTTGTAAGAGTAACACTCCAAAGCTATAAACATCTGATTTTCGTGTCAATTTTCCGGTAGTGGCATACTCCGGAGCAATATAGCCCCTTAAAATATCGCAGAACAAAAACGCCATAATTAGCCAGAGAATAAGGAAGATCCGATTTATTTACGTGCTGTGTTGAGTAACGTGTTATGCAGTGCTGTCACTTACAATGTCCCAGCAACTCTAGTACTGACGTATGACTTTTCGTCCGTAAACAACTTTGCGAAACCGAAGTCAGATAGCTTTGGCGTGAAGTTTTGATCGAGAAGGATGTTGCTGGGTTTGATATCTCTATGGACAATGTGGGGTTTTAGTTGCTCATGGAGATAGGCAAGGCCACGAGCCACCCCAACAGATATGTTGCTCCTCAATTCCCATCTGAATTTCATCCTGCATTCCTCTGTGCCTACATATATCATCAACCAAAAGGCCAAAATTATGTCCAGGTCTGCTTCATTTACTTTCTGATACATGCTTAAGGACCAAAAACGTACCTAAAAAAGTGCGGGAAAGGCTGTTGTTTTCCATGTAATTGAAGACCAAATATCTTCGGTCTTCTTCCACGCAACACCCTCGAAGACTAACTAGATTTTCGTGGTTGATACGAGAGAGTGTGGCCAATTCTGCGGCGAACTCCATTTCTCCTCGCATAGATTCCAGTTCGACTGAAAGCACTTTCACAGCCACCACATTGCCGTTCCGAAGCTGCCCCTTTAGAGGTCAAACACAGTCAGTCAGTCTTTGGTGATCATTAATTCAAGTTTTACATTAATGGATCGCTTAAAGGTTCCTTTCAATGCCGCATCAAGTCTGTCAGCAGAAAAAGAACGAGAATAACCTTGTAGACAGAACCGAATCCTCCTTCTCCAATCTTGTCCCAGGAATTAAAACCGCGGGTGGCTAATTTCAATTCGCTGCGATGGAATACACGAAATGCTTCATCACCGCCTCCTTCCGGGTCATCTGCGGAGTATTCACAAACCCAGCATTAGATGAAAGAATTTAAAAGGAAAAACAAAAGAACAAGAGAATATAGAAGACAGAACATGTAGATCAGCGGAAGGGATAATATACCGAGCTGTCTTGGTTCTTCGACTGTTGCAGAGAAACAAGTGAGAAATGAACGAGGAATCTTCATGTCTTAACCCTGAGAATAGAAGAAGCGTAAGCTATCGCTGGATGTCGGAGAGCGTGTGAGCTTATATATAAAGGTTTTGGAGGCAGCGTGCAAAATTTCAAAGAGAACGAGTTTGGAGGCTGAAGAGAACTCAGAACAAGAATAGACGCCACACGGTAACTCGGTTAAGGTTGATTGACAGCGTCTCCGGCTTTCTCCGTTTGAATCTGCCTTTTGAAAATGTTTTCCAAATTCCCGCAACTCAATCCCTTTCGGAAGTTTCGTGGGTTCTTCAACCCAATCTGCAATTGCTTTCATTGTCAATTGTCAAAATTGCAATAAAATAATCCTGTCTTATTGCCTTTCTGACGTTATTAATATTCTGCTTTTATTTAAAAATTTAAAATATTTTTAATTAAATTTTATTCTTTAATAAAATAATTATTTATGTATAAATTAACACTACCTTTTTTTATTTATTCTTATGTAATAAAAAATTTTACTTTAAAATAAATATAAAATAATTATTTAATAAAAATATTTTAAAAAAAATTAATAATTATAATTTAAAATATTAAAATATTTTATATTTTTAAACATTCACCCCATTCTCAAAATTTTTTACTTTTTTAAAACGAGTATTAATTTAATCAGTATCTTAATTTTAATTTGATTAAGAAAATATACCACGTGCCCTTTTTACATGCATGATTTTGTTTACCACAAATAGCAAGTGTTGAATTGAACCACAGGGATTGGTCATCCGTCATTCTCTCTCGGGAATGGGAATTTTTTTTTTTTTCCAAACGAAAATAAGTGAATGTAATTAATCGCTACTATTTCTACTATAAGTCTCTCAAAATATGATCAGTGAATAATTTAGTTACAAATTAGTATATACGTGTTAATTATTGACAGATCATCTACTTGTTATATTTTAATTAAAAAATATAATAACAAATATATAAATGATTGTGAGAGTATTTTTTAAAACGACATGGTTATTATTTTTGCTAAAATATATACATTACACTGTCGATGTTGAAAGAAACTGCATGTTTCTTTTTTTTTTTTAATAAAGAAAGCATTTATCATATTTTTTTAAATTATTTTTCATGAATTTAATATTTTTTTCACTACACAAATTTGTTTTATTAACTAGAGGGATAAGTAAGTCCAGATTTTTTAACTTTAGATATAATTACTATATTTAACCCGTTTTTCAAACTGTGTATTAATTATTTTCTCTTATATTTAAAAACAGATAAGAGATTTTGATAGTTAATTAGTTATTGTGCTTTCAAGATGTCAACAAAAGGAGGTGGACGCGTTTGCATGCTTTACATTTTGTGAACATTTGGTTAGAGCAGGAGGTCAACCGTGCTTCTCTCAATCACGAGTGAGGTGGCAATCTTAAAAGAAACGGCACGTTGGGATATTAATCTGATACATTCATTTTAAAGACCCGTTTAAATTTTAGTTAAATAGAATTAATTATAAAAATAATTAATTAATATGATTGATGATCAATTTGAAAACTGAATTTGATTTTATCTTTACAAATTATCATAAAAACATTACTTTTTAAAATTAAATTATTGATAAAGTTGTACTTGACATTATTAAATTTGTTAAATTTTGTTTAAGTAAAATATATTATTTAACAGTAAAATTGAATTTATAAGTAATCTTTCAAAACTTATTTCAAAATTTGGTTATGACTCAGTAATCAATATCAACTTTTTTTGATGTTTGGATAATTTTTTTTCAAAAACTGATTATTTGAGCCCCAAAATCAATTATAATGTGAATCCAAACAGGTTGTAAGATGTTAAATTTTAACTCAAACTTTTGGTTACTAGAATATAAAAAGAAGTCTTATATTTAAAAATTATAACATAAATTATAAATACATAAGTTTAGGAAATATATAACTAAATGGTTTAAGCTATCTTGATAGAATATATTATCTTTAAGCATGCTTAATATAAAAAATCTAATAGGTATCATAAGGTAAAGTTGGAAAAATGTGTTGAACTCGTGAGCTAGCCTGTTTGACTCTCCAATTTTGACAAGTTAGGTTGAAGAAATTGGCCCATTTTTTAAAACAGGTTGAGCTATCCCAACTTGTAAAATTGACAAGTTAAAATGGGCTAGCACGTGAGCTAAATAGCTACCCTATTTTTTTCAAAAAAAATAATTTATTTTTCAATAGCAATATATCTCCTTATAAATCTATAATAATAATAATAATATTT